CACCTCATTATCTTACTAAAGGTGATATCTCCTACATTTTTACTAATCTAGTGTCAATGGCTATGATAATAAAAGCAAGGAATTATATTGAAAATGATACAGACAGTTACAAAGACAGTGACGATGATAGGCACTCACGATAAAAAAGTTTATGCAACAAATATGATTTTACATCAACTTTAAGAGTTTTGGTGTTCATAAGTACCTTGAAACCGTAACTTTCAGCATTTGCGACGCTCTTATACCACCCGAATTTTCCAGCACGAGGTGTTCGAAGGCCTCTATTTTGTATTGATTAGGTTTCTCTCCAAGTCTTCCATACGTCTTCTAGAAAAGTAAAGAAAAGCAACCGGCTTTGCATTTTAATCATAACATTTGAGGTAATGACAGTAACGGTAACGATAATGGTAAAAGTTAAGGTAACGGTAACGGAAACGGTACTGCACCAGTAAAGATAACGGTAAAGGTAACGATGAAGGTAACGGTAACAGTGATGATGAAAATAACAGTTAAGGTCATGGTAACGGAAACGGTATCGTACCGGTAACGATAACGGTAAAGATAACGGTAAAGGTAACGGTAACAGTGATGGTAAAAATAACGGTTAAGGTAATGGTAACGGAAACGGTAATAGTAAAAGTAACGGTAAAGGTAACGGGAACGATAACAGTAAAGGTAACTGTAACGGTACTGGTAGCGCCTCCTGAGTCCACTGTCGATTTGTTTATCACGACATTGGAGGCAATAACGGTACCATAACGATAACGATAACGGTAACGGTAACGCTTAAGGCAACGGTAAAGGTAAAGGTAACAGTAACGATAGTGGTAATGATGGTGGTATGAGTTTTCATCGATTTATGGAACAACACTTTCCTTATGCTCTTTCCAAGTGGCGCAGTAAAGCATAAACCTATTTCTGCTCCATCTGAGATGCATTAGATTCTTAAACCAGTTTTTTTCTCAGTTATTTATGGTTGGTCTCAGCCGAGGACGGAAGCTTAAAGAATCTGTATGCAGTGTTAGATGAGTTGTGTTATTTTACCGGGCTATTTCCACTTGGTGTTCTACTCGGATGGAACAGGAAATTTCCCAAACTATATGCTACAAGTTTTCGATGTTTGACGTAGCAGGGCTGGAGCACGTGTGGATGGCTTCCAATGATCACATGCACACCGAGAGACATCAGGTGCTTGTTTATACGACGCTGGTAGGGAAGCGGCGTCAGGAAGAGTTCTTGCCCATAATGCATCATGACGACTATTATGCCGACTTTAGCCTTTGGGAATAAAGATACTGATAGAATGAGAGATGGTAAGTTTTAAGCTCGATAACGAAATAGGGATAGTTTTTCGTCTTGTCACGAGCGTGGGACAAAGAAAAAATTCTGATTTCCCATAATTAATGGAACCTTAGACCTTCGGATTCCACGCTCAGATGCTCTACCACTAAGCCACAGAGACTCTGTGGTGAGCGAGACTCGTACTGATGGTAGTGTTTAAAACAATTTTCATTGGACCATGCAAAGAAATCAGGGATTGCTTTTGACTTGCTTATCATCGCTCTATGACTAGCGGAAGAAATTGAAGACAACCCGCCAATCAATCAAATAAAAAAGTAAAACCAATTGTGAATTTGACATTCATCTCGACCGGCGCTTTACAAAGTTTGCCT